AACCGATGTCAGAATTCTTGGCCTTCAGGAAGTACTTGGGTGGTTCAATAGGTTAAGCATCTGACTTTTGATTTTTGGCTCAGGTCAGGATCTCATGGTTCATGAGTTCAAGCCCTGAGTCAGGTGCGGTGCTGACAGCGCGAAGCCTCCTTGGGATTCTCTCTCCCTCTCTCTCTCTGCCCTTCCCAGCTCTCTCTCTCTCAAAATAAATAAACTTAATAGTAATAAAAAAAAAAATAGAACTCTTGGCCTTCAGAACTGTGAGAATTTGAGAATAAAGTTTGGTTGTTCTAATCATCAAGTTTAAAGTAATTGGTACAATGGCCCTATTAATAACTAATAGACTTTGATATGGGGAAAATGGGTGCTGCTGTCACAAATACCTAAACATGTGAAGGTGGCTTGGAAACTGGATAATGGGCAGAGACTGGAAGAAGTTAGAGGCACATGATAGCAAATGCTAGACTTCTTTAAACAGACATTTAAACAGAGACATTAAGGTTCCTGTTGGTGGGGATTCAGAAGCAAGTGAGAAGCACGGGTTGGGAAAACCATCTCATCTTAGAAAATACATAGACAGCCTCAAACCAAATGTGGCTATAATTGTGGAGAACAGTTAGACAGAAATGAGGAACATGCTATTGGAAATTTGAGGAAAGGGGATCTTTGCAATATAGTGGCAGAAAACGTAGCCAGTGTGTATTCTGTTATGTGGAAAGCAGAATTTATAAACTACGAACTTGGATGTTTAGGGTTGAAGATTTGGCCTGGTTTCTGCTTGCCGCTTAGAGTAAAATGTGAGAGAAGAGATTGAGAGAAGGCCTGTTAAACCCAGAGAAGCCAGATTTAGGAAAATTCTCAACCTATCCGGATTTTAAAAGTTGTTAAAATTAAGAGATTGGCTTTGGGCACAGTGCTCTAGAGAAAAGGCCAACAGTGTGGCCAGACAGCCTTTCATTAGCACTGAAGAGAGTAGGTCTGTGACTTATGGGTCCCTTCAACCGTCTCCACAGCCACCAGGAAGAGATGGGATCATATAGGAAAGATCTGTGGAGGACCCTCACCTAATGGCATAAATCCACGTGACATATATTGGATACCCACAGGGTTTCTGAGAATGCCGTACCAGCATAAACCCTGACAGCTTGGACTGAAAGGGACAAGTTTGTAGTAATGTGTCACAGTACTCACAGGGAACTAAGAGCCAGCATTTTGTGAATGTTTACTATGTGCCAGCACTCTGTCTGCTTTACACGTATCAGCTTATCTAATCTAACATGAAGCCTATGATCTAGCACTATTGGCACCTCTACTTCTAAGATTTTCTTTTTTATGTATTTGACAAGCACTCTCAGGGCACTCACTGTTTTCCAAGTGCTTTCCAAATATTAACGTACTATTGTTATTGCGTCCGTTTTATAGTTTGCTTATCTTTCCCTTTTACCTCAGGAAGGCAAATGGCCACCAGACCCTTTTACTTTTTCTAATTGGGGGGTATTTTTTGTGTCCCATGCTGCATTTGAGGTGACTGTAACTCTGTGGTGCTTTTTGTAACCTAGGTTCGTATATCGAGTTCTTCAGGGATCCCTGTTTCCATCTCCAGTTCTAAGGGCTAAGCACTTTGACAGACTGACTCCAGAGGAGAGGACTAAAGCTCTCAAGAAGTGGGGAGAGGCTGGAAAGACGGGCCAGGTGACACCTACGTACGCTGACCACTCAGACGCTGCGTCAGAGAAAAGAGCTACGTCTGGCCCCGATGCTGTCTTTGCAATGATGTCAGCGCCTTCTCATCCTGTTGAGCAGGATGACTTATCTGTACACGAAACTGCTTTGGACTCAGACTGCTGTGAAGCCAAGGACTCAGGGATGGCTGGGCCCCCAAAGGGTTAAAAAAAAAAAAAAAAGTAGGGTGCCCTACTTGGAGTGCAAATATTCCTTCAGATTTGGAAGAGGGACTTTGAAGAGGCAGCTCTATCAAGAATGAGGTCGATTTTTCCCTAAGGGACATGAGCATTCCTTCCACTGTGCTTGGAAGAGCCAGTGTGCAGACCCTTTATTGTATGTTTGTAGATACATTTGTAAAAGAGGTTGGAGTGTGACCTGAACAGGGTTTAGGGAGGTGAAATATTTAATTCAGAATCAAATGCTTTTATGAAACTTTTTGGATTTTGTAAAAGCTCTTTTATTGTCTTCGAAGTGCAGACATTCTTAAAGGATTCCTTTGAGATGTTTTTATTTAACTGGGAGAACTCCGGTTCCAGGGAAATGTTTTCAGTGAGCAGACTCCAATCTGAATTTTTAAATGAAGAAAAAAAAGCGGTTTTTTAGATCAGTTCGAACTCCAAAGAGAAGAAAATGTTATAAATGGTCCATTTCCAGAGAAAAAATTCAAAGAGCCTTTTAAATGACAATGTACCTAAACAAGGGTAATAACTGTACTATTTAAATGTAGCCAGTGACTATTAATAGCCTCTTTCATGCAGGAAGATGCCTTTGGTTGTCTGACTGCAGATGCCAGGCATACCTCTCTGCTCACGGCAGTGCTCTCCAGCGGAGTGTTCACTGGGAAAGGGCAGAGGGACGCCAGGGTTCTGTAGGGATGTGTTCCTCTCTCAGCTTTCGCTCAAAAGAAGACTTTTTATGAGGTCTGCCTCTATGCGGCCGTTGTCAGTTGGGAAACGCAGTCCACACGTATGGCAGACAGAGTGAGCTGCGTGTCTACCCATTTGGCAATCTCTTGTATTCTAAAACTTACAATCAAAAGCCTGAGAAAAATGAGACAATCAATTTCAAAACAGTCTTTAAGAGACCATTTGAGGGTTCGTGGTCTTTACAGAATCCTACAACTTCTCCCATGTTGTAGCTTTTAAAAATGAGGTGTTATGAATTGGGTCTGATACAGGTGGTTCTCAGAAGGATTCCATGAGGCTCTTAGAAAACTTTTTTTTTTTAAATACATTTTAGGACAGGAATGTTGATAGCAAGTTACTTGCTGTCACAAATCATGTATGCTGGCTTTAGTTGGAACAAAGACTAGTTTACAAAGTAAGCCCAGTTATTATAATATCATCTAGTCTCATTGAACTCTTTTTAAAATTCGATATCTATTCATCTGAAAATTGTCAGCCACTAGTCACCCAGAATCTCCTTCCTGAAATCTCCATGCTAATGTTCTCTGTCTGTATCAAGGTCTTAGGACTATTAATCTGTTATTCTCAGGGCTTAATTTTTCCCTGATACCTACTTTCCTGGTCTGACTTTCTTTCCTTCCTTCCTTCCTTCCTTCCTTCCTTCCTTCTCCCTCCCTCCCTCCCTCCCTTCCTTCCTTTCTTCCTTTCTTTCCTTCTTTCTTGTTACTTTCTGATACTACTGCAAATACTCTTATATAGACTGATTTCCAGAACTTTCAAAATCCCACATGGCTATTGGAAGTTGCTTTCTACTTTCTTAATGATGTTTTAAAATAAACTGTTTAATAAATAATGTGTATGAAAAACTGTCATCACTCCTATGGATACCACTGACCCCAGTAGTAATTGCTGCCAGAGCTTAAAAGGAAACTCTTAAAGCACAGCTTTTACCAGAACATTGTAATGGCCTTTTCTTACATGGAAAAATCAGTAGTGTCATATCATCCATTATCCTCCCAGCAGCTGGCATTCATTCTCTGAATATCGATAAAGGGTTAGAATGTAAAGATAAAATGAATAAACCAAGAAGACTAAGAAAAAAAGTCAGGTTTCCAGATGTCAAGTATCTGTACATAAGAGTAGAAGAAACTCGAGTATTCGTGTTATGAGTCCGCAGTCTCCTACCCACAATTGTAAAATCCCAAGAGCTCTGAAACAGGTTTTTCATAAATTAGGCACAAATTAACAGACAGATGTAAAGCTATTTATTTAATGTAATTATTCAGATATTTTGCTATCAAAATGTGTTGTATTACTGGGTGCTAAACTATTATATTTTTTATTCTGAAAAATTCTGGATTCTGAAACACAGCTAGTCCTCAGGCAAAAGAGATTTGGGGTCTATATTAAGCCCTTAACAGGCCTCATTTACAAGTGCATAACTTTTACACTAAGTTATTACATTTTGGTGTTCAGTATATTTTCCCAAATTTGAGGGGACCCAGCATTAGATCATTGTTCCTTGGAGCCAGAAAAAAATTGATTAATAGTATATCTTTTGCGGTATAACTTTATCCCAAAAGATTTATGAAAGAATTGTTTCAGGCTCCCAAAATGTACTCTGTAGACATGAAAGACTCTTGCAGTCTTACCAGGACTAAAGTTTTCTTTGGACACTTAAGTGACCTGAGACTATTAGCAACCTCTCATTTCAAAAAGCCACCCGTCACCTAAAATAAGAGCACCCTCCTGTGAGAGTGAGCTCCAAGACAGGTAAATTTGGATTGGTTGGCGGCTGGGGGCCAACAGTTATAGCAGGGGGCACAGTTTTCTGGGACTTGCTCTCCAGGTTCCGTGTCCGTTGAAAAAAAAAAGGATTGTGCCATTTTATTTTATTGCAGGTTATTTAAAACAAGTACAATAGGTACAGTTGACTGAACAGAAGTTGAGCAAGGCTAAAAGCTATTACATTATGTACCTACAACTATAACAAAACTGACATCATGTTCTTGAACTTCCATACAGTTGTGCCCGTCATTCCGTTGCTGGGTTTCACATTCTCAGTAGGTTCACACAAACTAGAGACTAGGAGAGGAATAACATGGAACGTGTCAAGACAACTTTTTGAAACCGCAATATGTGGACACGTTGAAAAGAGGAGAAAACTACATGTATAAAACTGCAGATAGTCTCTGCTGAGGCAGTCCGGGCGGGGGTTGCTTGCTGGTGAAGGTTAGTAGGGAACCCTACTTGTTCGAAAGGCATTTGGATGTTGCAAATGGATCCCTAACTAAATCATTTACATGTGAAGATCTGTATTGTGAAGCTTTTTAGTGGGGAGAGGTTGATGCACATAAAGTGGCCTTGTGCTTAAAAACATTAAAAAAATTTTGTTTTAATTATCAACAGGAGGAAATGGCAGCAACACCAGATATTAAATATGCTTCAAGGAAAGTTACAAAATGTGTTACTCCCGGCAAACTTGAACTGTGCTTTGGGATGCGTTTCTGTGACTCTATTGTTATGGGTGAACGCAGGAAAATTGGGAAATAAGGAATTGGGGTCGGGCGCAGTTTAATTTTCATCTTCAAAAATTGAATCTCTCCAGTCTAAAGCAAGTTCTCCTTGGCAAAGTTTAATCTCAATTCACTGTCAAACAGCCAAAACAAAATGTTTCCCACGAATATTCTTCTGGTTGTTAAAATCTCAGTCAGCCCATTCGCCCTGAACAAACGTCAGCTCTGGAGAAGGTTCAATGGAGACTTTTCTATAAAGTTACATCCTTGATTTGAGTTCAGAGGGGACAGTCCTCTGAGGAATGCTAATGTTGATGTCTGAAGACTTTGTGTTCAATATGTTTCCATTTCAGGTACCTCAATGGATGCTACTTGTCTTTTATCTCTGTCCACTGTAAGTTCTCAGAATTATGGAAACTTGAGAAGAGTAATAGTAAACATTTAACTTTGTAAATTATGTTGGCTTTTAATAAAAGAGAGCCTCCAGCATTAATATTGCAATTTGCCACCGTGCTCGAGAAACAAAAACTGGCAAAGATTACTCATCGGGGATCTCTGTCCTCTCTGTGACTCGAAGAAAGAGAATTTTCCATAACCTGTTCTCCTAGCACCTGCCCTATTCCAGGGCTGATAAATTTTGTGCTAAGGTCAAGGTTAGGCCTGGCAAAAGAACAAGATCTGCTTTTCTTTGTTTTATGGGTTTTTTTTAGACTCTCATTCAACTTGAAATAAGAGAAAAGTAAAGTTGAAACAAAACTGCATAAAATGAGACCAAAACAAACATGAAAATTTGCAGCGCACGGCTGAGCATCACGGTCCACGGAAAGTGCTTCTGTTCAGCTCTCTGCGGGAAGCTCTCCACAGTCAAAAAGGCCATTTGCTTTGAATGTAGCTGACAAAAGTCTCTGATCGTCTTTGGAATTAGTTTAGGAGAAAGGTATGGACGTACATTTGTCTTTCAATCCATTCGACGAAGTATGACACATTGCTGTAAACCCCAGGCCCCAGGACTTTGGAAAAGCATACGGAGCCCCACGACGTTAAACCAAATAATGTCCATTGTCCTCCAGGCCGCTCACAAACAAGTGGCCCACCGCTGTCACCCTGTAATGAATAGCAGTGCACATTAGTCACTGGTATTTCAGAGCCCTCATGGCGTCCGTGTTATCCTGAGGGTGCAATAAAGGCAAACCTGGCTTAACCAACTTCTTGGAAAGTTTTAACAAAGCTCTCAGTGCCAGCTGGTGGCACTTTCCACTACACAAGTGGAACTTGCAAAGGAACATTTTACACTCTGATCTTTAAAAGAATGGAGGTGGGGCACCTGGGTGGCTCAGTCGGTTAAGCATCCAATTTCAGCTCAGGTCATGATCTCACAGTTCATGGGTTCGAGCCCGGTGTCGGGCTCTGTGCTGACAGCTAGCTCAGAGCCTGGAGCCTGCTTCAGATTCTGTCTCTCTCTCTCTCTCAGACCCTCCCCTGCTCATGCTGTCTGTCTGTCTCTCTCTCAGAGATAAGTAAAACATTAAAAAGAAACTTAAAAGAATGGAGGTTACTTGGGAAAGGGCTACATTCTTTGTTTTCCGGCAAATTAGAAGATTTCTCAGTCATTTCCTGTGCTATATTAACATCAGGCATCATTTTCTCTACTTAGCATATCAGTAAAAGGCGAAAGATTTATATGATCTGAAGAGAAACCAGAGTATTCTACTTAGCGTATCAGAACTAATTCTCTCCTAGTTTGATCTCGCTCCTTAACTTTGAGTCATTTTATGAAGTTGGAAGTACCCAAATGGAACAAAGATTTTGTTTTCTCCACCAAAAAGTACTTAGAAAAAGAAAAAAGATTGCAGAATAACCCTATTTTCAAGATTCTTGCTCTGTGAATGAGTGCATTCAGTAAAAGACACTGACAACTTGCTTGATTTCTTAACAGATCTTAAGATCTGTCCAATTAGTGTACTTGAATGGAAAACACCACATAAGAATTATTTCCAGCAAGTTATTTTGTGGATAACCTATATTCTATTTCACATGCACGGGGATTTTCATTCTTGACATCTAACTTGAGGCGTTGCAGTTCTTTTACCCACATATAATTAAGACACTGTGGCTTTACAAATGTTAATATTTGTTACACCTGAAAAGATCACAGATTAGGCAAGTTCTGCACGGCCTCAAAAGAGAGGAATTGATATCCTGGAAAATAAGGATGTAAATGTGGGAATTCATGGTGGGAATTTACCAATAATCCTTGTCCTGTAAGAATTTCAAACTTGGAATGAGATAGATGGTCTTCGCCGCTCTGGTCATGTTGGAGAAAAACAGTAATTATGTTTGTTGATCCTCCTCTAAACACTTTCCCTTGGATTAGCTCATTTAATCCTCATGAAATCCCTATGAGTTGACAATAATTATAACATGTGTGTTGGAGGCACTGAGCCTGAAGCACAGAGCTAGCTTTAGACCCAGGCCATCTGACACCATGACTCCAGCTCCAGAACTACTTCGTCTCAGAAGCGTTAGCAAATACTACTGCTATTAGAGTGAAATGGAGTTTGTTTTTAATTTTTTTAAACATTTATTGAGAGACAGAGAGAGACAGAGCATGAGCATGGGAAGGGCAGAGAGAGGAGGAGACACAGAATCTGAAGGAGGCTCCAGACTCTGAGCTGTCAGCACAGAGCCTGATGTGGGGTTCAAACCCACAAACCACGAGATCATGACCTGAGCCAAAGGAGGATGCTTAACCAACTGAGCCACGCAGGTGCCCTGCGAAATGGAGTTGGTTTTTTTTTAATGCTTTATTTATTTCTAGGAGAGAGAGAGAGACAGCGTGAGCAGGGGAGGGTCAGAGAGAGAGGGAGTCACAGACTCTGAGACAGGCTCCAGGCTCTGAGCTGGCAGTCAGCACAGAGCCCAACAAGGGGCACGAACCCACGAACCGAGAGATCATGACCTAAGCGAAAGTCGGACGCTTAACCGACTAAGCCACCCAGGCACCCCCTGTTTTTGTTTTGTTTTTTTTAATTTTTGGTGTTTATTTATTACTGAGACAGAGAGAAACAGAGCGTGAATAGGGGAAGGGCACAGAGAGAGGGAGACACAGAATCTGAAACAGGCTCCAGGCTCCGAGCTGTCAGCACAGAGCCCGATGCAGGGCTCAAACCCACAAACCGTGAGATCATGACCTGAGCTGAAGTCGGACGCTTAACCAACTGAGTCACCCAGGTGCCCCCAAAATTCAAAAAAAAATCAAAGTTTTTGACTGCGCTGTGTGCTTTGTGGAAAATGGAGATCTTTGCATTCCTAACGTTCCAATGCCATAAGCCCAAATAGTATAGACAGACCTTGCAAGAGGCTGAATAAATTGCTCTGCCTGGAAGCCAAAATGAATTTTTTTAAAGCAAAACTTACTAGAAACATTTTGTCCGACAAATTCCACAGTTGTTTCGTCTTCCCTTGTGCAAAAGCAATAGCAAAATGCTGACTTAATTAGGGTGAGCTGCTTATTATGTCAGAGTGTTATTAACATTGGACATGCCGACGTTACCTCCAAAAAAGAAGCCCGTTCAGAGAAGGGAATGGGCAAGGGGTACATGGTAACTTGGGAGTTCAGTATACTGAAAGATGCTGTCGATAAAATCAAATGTAATTAACATTAACAACAACAACAACAAAAACGGGGATGTGTACAGGCTGGTATCTCTATACTTTCAGATCAGGAATTTAGCCAAATAACTATTCAGCATCTTCTCTGCAAGGTTCTGTGCTAGGATCTATGCAGATGAAGAAGGCACTATTTTTTGTCCCAGAGAGGTCAAAGGTCTGCTTGGGTACCAAGCGTAACTCTACTTGAAAGCCAGGTCTAAGGACCATGAGAAAGGAATCTTCAAAGGACCGAGCGATTACCGCCAAGTGGACGGGAACAAAAGTGCCTTCCCATGATGGGGATTTTGAGTTAGGCCCTAGTGAGACAAACAGACAAGCGTCAAGTGGAGAGCAAGAGAGGAGAAAGGAGCAATTCAAACGCAAGGGATTGTACAGCAAAAGGCACAAGTTGCTCGTTTTGGTCTTCTTCCTCTTTGTCATATTGGGCTTTAGGCCAAAGTTTATGTTGGGCTTCAGTATTGATCCCCGTGATTGATTTCTAGACCTTCACAGAAGGGTCTACAGCTTCCAATGTCGGCTACGGATGTAATTAAGGAAGATAATGAAAGGTTCTGATGAATAATCTTGCTCCAGACCTGATGAAAACAAAAAAGTAGCTTTTGATGATTTGTTTTGTATTCGTCTCCCTAGGGATGTATTATGGAGTATCTGGTATGCATTTGCGTCTCCCACAGTGTTGAATTCCAACTACTCCCAAGGTCGGGAAGGCCTAGTCCTACCAGGCAATGTGGTATGAACCTGGCTGTGCCTGTACCTGGGCTTCAATTCTCTTTCAAAGAACACCTCCCTTCTCTTTTAGCAAGTAACAGGGGATGAAGAGGCACTCATTTGGGGTGGGCCTCCAGATTGTGCTGGGAACGGGGAGAGATGGATGCACACTAATCGCTGCTACCGGGAGTGTAGAGGTTGAACACCTGGACCCTGAAGCTATACTTCCTGTGTTCACATTCTCACTCTACCACCTCCATGCTGGGTGATTTGGGGCAAATCACTTCACCTCTCTGCTCCCTTGTTTTCCTGCTTTGTAAAATAGTACAAACAATGTTACTGCCATAAGAGCTGGTTGTGAGGATTACATGAGTTACGAAAAAGCACTTGGAAGAGATACTGGAACACACAAGCACCAACTGATAAATACTAATGATACAGTTACTATTCATTGTGCCGGACATTGCACACACGTAGGTGAAAGATAGGGGCTTTCACATACATGGGCTCGGGTAATCATAACCACACCCTGAAAATTAGAATCAGCCCCATCTTCTGAGAAAATTCTAGAGAAACTTCTCCAGGTCACATTGGTCTTACAGGCAGAGATAGGATCTCACCCAAAACTTCAGGCTGCACATTCTGTGAACCAAGATCCACACCACGCTGCCTCCCCAAACACTTTTTCTTTTTCTTTTTCTTTTTTGGCTTGGGGAATCAAACCTGGGCCTCTTGCATGAAGGTAGGGATTCCTCCACCACCGGCCACCTCAGGTGGACGATTTGTGGTCAGGAAGCAGAGAGACTGTGGCCTCAGGGAAACCCCAAAGGAGCCACCTGCCTCCCTCTTTCCCGTGACAATTAAGGAATCGCTGTTGGGCCATTTCGAGCCCCCCGATTAGCCTGTTTTGAAATAGGCCGCCCAAAGTGTTCTTTTATTATGTTGTGTGAGTGGTGATGATATTGTTGATCTCTTCTTCAATTCTAAAATGCGAGGGGCAATCTGATTTACTCCACAGCAGTGAAATAACAAGAGTCTTTCATAGCAGTGGCACGGTCATAAGTAGCACTGTTATAAACTTCCTTGAAGGAGAAAGAGAAATTAACAATCCCGTTTACAATTGCACCAAAAAATGATAAGCTATCTAGGAATAAACTTAACCAGAGAGGTGAAAGACCTGTACTCTGAAAACTGTCAAACACTGATGAAAGAAACTAAAGATGACACAAAGAAATGGAAAGACACTCCATGCTCTTGGACTGAAAAGAACAAATATTGTTAAAATGTCTTTACTACCTACAGCAGTCTACAGATTTAGTGCAATCTCTATCAAAATACCAACAGCACTTTGCACAAAACCAGAACAACATTCCTAAATTTATATGGAACCACAAATGACCTCGAATAACGAAAGCGATTTTGAAAAAGAAAAGCAAAGCTGGAAGTTTCACAATTTCAGACTTGATGTTATATCACAAGGCTGTAGTGATCAAAACTTTCTGCTACTGGCACAAAAATAGACACATAGATCAACAGAACAGGATAGAAAACTCAGAATAAACCCACAAGTATATGGTCAATAAATCTTCAACAAAGCAGGAAAGAATATCCAATGGGAAAAAGTCTCTTCAAAAAACGGTGTTGGGAAAACTAGTCAGCATGTACATGCACAGGCAGTAATGTCTCTGACATTGGCCACAGCAACATTTTTCTAGGCAACAGAAATAAAAGCAAAAATAAAGTGATCTATTGTATCTAAAATTATCTACACCGAAATAAAAAGCTTCTGCACAGTGAAGGAAACAATCAGCAAAAACTAAAAGAGAGCCTATGGAATGGGGGAAGACATTCACAAATGACATACCCAATAAAGGGTTAGCATCCAAAGTATATAAAGAATTGATACAACTCAAGACCCACAAAACAGATAACTCAATTAAAAAATGGGCAGAAGACACGAACAGACATTTCTCCAAAAAACATATCAGATGGCCAACAGACACATGAAAAGGTGTTCAATGTCACTCATCATCAGGAAAATGCAAATCAAAACTACAATGAGGTATCACCTTACACCTGTCAGAATGGCTAAAATGCAAAAATACAATAAACAAGTGTTAATGAGGATGTGGAGAAAAAGGTACCCTCTTGCACTGTTGGTGGGTATGCAAACTGGTACAACCACTGTGGAAAGCAATATGGAGGTTCTTCAAAAGGTTAAAAATAGAACTATCCTATGATCCAGTAATGGCATTACTAGGTATTTATCCAAAGAATAAAACAATTCTAATTCAAAGAGACCCATGCACCCTGATGTTTACAGCACCATTATTTATAATAGCCAAGTGTTCATTGATTGATGAATGGATAAAGAAGATGTGGTGTTTATTTATACACAATGGAATATTATTCAGCCATAAAAAGAACGAAATCTTGCCATTTGCAGTGACATGGATGTAGTGTGAGAGCATAATGCTAAGCAAAGTAACTCAGTCAGAGAAAGACAAATACCAAATGATTTCATTCATATGTGAAATTTAAGAAACGAAACAAGCAAAGGAGGAAAAGAAAAAAGAGACAAACCAAGAAAGAGACTCCTAATTATAAAGAACAAACTGATGGTTGCCAGAGGCGAGGTGGGTAGAAGGATGGGTGAAATCAGTGATGGAGATTAAGGAGTGCACGTGTGATGGGCACTGGGTGATAAATGGAACTGTTGACTCAGTATATTGTACACTTGAAACTAGTATAACATTGTATGTTAACTATACTGGAATTAAAATTAAAAAATGGAAAGCAAAAAATAACCTTTTTGTTCTTGCCTGGTTTCCAGTTCAATATAATATTCAATGAATGTTTATTATATGAAAATAAAAACGCCTCCCTGTATTGCTAAGTTTGCATGCTTGGGAAACTACTCTGACTACGGAAACTACTGAAACTACATGACTATGAATCCTGGGTGCCTAAAGCAATCAACGTGGGAGCGATCGACTCCTGAGACAAAGGGAGTTCTCTCACACACCCTGGAAGGTGGGGTGTTGTGTGTGCTTTAACGCCATCACCTTGATGGCTGAAAACATCCTTTGGTGTCCCTCTGCTGTGGGCAGGGAAGAGAGACGGGGAGGGGAAGCCTGGTTGGAGCCATGATTACCATTAGCTTCTCATAGAACTTGTTTGTCTTGGCTGCTAAGATGGGCCAGACAATTGCTGTTCTTCCTTTTGCTGACCCAGGGTGCTATTCCCCATGCAGTAGGATGAGAAAGCTGAGGGCAACCTGGGTGAAGGGCATGGTGGTAGTTAGGAGGATCACTTGGGTATTGGGTAAAGTACATACTGTGAAAAATTAAACATTTGGTAATAAGCAATGTTCAAAAAATATTCCCAAAGGGCCACACATGAATCATAATGAGTTTATATGGACCCATTGATGTTATCGCTGAACTGAATCTCCTCAGTAACCAGAAAGCAACTTACCATGCATGAGTCGACTGTGCCGGACTCATAGCCGGCACATATCATCCGGGTGGTGATGGTCTTCATGTCAAAGTAGGATTGGCAGTGCTCCAGAGAGATGATGCGGACTTCTCCCTCTTGCAGCTTAAAAGGCACTGGATTTTTTTTTTTTTAAAGGAAGAAAAAAACACAATATGTAAGAGGGTAAGATGACTCAAGATGAGGCTAACTGTATATGAACTGATTCCATCTGTATGCCAGGAGCACCAAAATCTTTACTTAAAGCATCATTTCAAAGACTAGTCTTGTTTGGCATCAGAATTTTCCAATTAGAAGTGTTGATAGGAATCATCTCGTCAAAGTCCTTTATTTTATCCATGGGAAAACTGAGGCACAGACTCATCTGTAACTCGGTTAGGTCACTTGGCTCGTGCTTTTCCTCCTCTTAATACATATTGCAACAAGAACAACAGCTAACAATAGGCCAGGACCTGCACTCTGGGCCTCTTTAATCTTTGCAATAATCCTGTGAAATAGACCATTGCCATTGTTTTTTCCATGGTAGAGTAATCTAGAAAGTCAGGGTTAATCAGACCTTTCTAACTGAATTCAGACCCTCGCTCTTCATGCCAGGCCATATATGTGGTACGTGCAATGTCACGTGATTGCTCTGAGTTTGGTGTGGCTATTGTGGAAACAATACAAGTAGACACAATATAAAGCATATTCTGCTGCTATACCACGTCACGGTACTAATTATAACTCTGAAAAACCAAGAGCCACAGGAATGGTGACATCACATGCCTAACACTGCCTTCAAAAGTCTTCCATGGGAGCTTGTCAGAAGGCATTGACTCATTTCTATCTTTTGACTTTTTCCTCCTGTCCTCAACTGATCACATAGAAAAGAAACTCAACTTAGCCCCAGACTTATCTGACTGAATTTTGAGAAGAAGGAAAAAAAAAAAAAAACAAAAAAACTGTCCTTCAAATTGGCAGTAGCTAAGGGATAATGGGACATCAATATACATCAGCATTCCCAAGAGCTGTGCTGGTGTTCTTGATACAGTCTGGGTGGCCAGCACTTACCGTAAAGTAAATGTCTCATTGATTACATTCTTATTCTCAACTTTTAGTAGGTCCGACAACACGAGGGAATACATTATGGGGCTGGGAGTAGGTAGTACAAATTGTTTAATTTTTAAGTTTTGTAGGTTTAAATCATCTAGGGAGCCAAACTATTTTAATCAATTGAAACAGGCGAATAGCAAATCAGGTTTCCTTCTGGAAGGACTTACAGCTTGTGACAGATGTTGACAAGACCAAATCATAACAGGGAATTGGACATGTGGCCGAGCCGCCTGACCGCGGGGCTGAAACTGCCTGGCCTCTGGAGAGTGACTTTGCCTGCAGAGCGCCACTCACTGGTAGAGACGGCGTGAAGCCAGCAAGACTGAGAAACCCGATCTCACGGGGCAGCCCGGGGCAGCGGCAGCGGCTCCCCGGAGAAAGAATCTGGGGTGCAGAGAAGGACTTTTGGGGCTGCATGTGACCGTGGCAGGTCTACACACCGGGAAGTGCTGACATCTCCCGCGTGCGTGGAAGGCGGGTGTGTGACACGCGCACCTCGTATTCGCTCTCTGTGGCTGTATTTTTAGAAATGCAAATGGGAACCTGGTGCCAAAGGCTGGGCGGTAACATCGTGTTTTTCAGGTACAAGCTGAAAAGCAAGAGCTTCTGAGGATGGTGGCTTACTTTTGTTGCCCATGTGTCCCCAGCCTGTGATGTAGCAGTACGTATCGGGCTCCAAGGACTGGTCTGGGCCGGGTAAGCAGACGGGCCGCACGTAGCTGGTTTCGGCGATGTCTTCACTCAGCTCCACCATGCTGATGTCGTAGTCCACCACCGCTCGACTGTAGCGAGGGTGCAGGATGATGCTCTTCACCAGGCGCGTCTGCGTGAACGTCGACGGGTGGTCGAGATTGTTGATGCCAAACACCACTTTCCAAACGGCAGCGTTCTCTCTCCTAAAATGATCAGTTCAAGAGCTATTGGCATCTTAAACTCAAATTTACATTGTAAAAATGTACATGCAATTTTTAAAAAGTGAATTTTATTTGTTTTGAGAGAGAGAGGAGAAAGAAAGAGCTGGGGAGGGGCAGAAAGAGGAGAGAGAGAGAGAGAGAGAGAGAGAGAGAGAGAATCCCAAGCAAGCTCCCTGTTGGTCAGCGCAGAGCCTGACACAGGGCTCAAACTCATGAACCTTGAGCTCATGACCTAAGCCAAAACCAAGAGCTGGATGCCTAACAGACTGAGTCACCCAGGTATCTCTAAAATGTACATGTAATTTTTCAAATATTTTATTTATGTAAATATTGGCTCTTTCCCTGCCCAATGTATTTATATAAGAAGCACCTCTATAATGGCCTGAGCAATTTGTAAGTAGGTATTCTTGTAGCAAGCAAAGCTCATGCTTCTAGAATGGGGCTGTTTCGGAAAATAAAACTGGTTCAGTTTGGAAGGCAGGCAGGGTAGTTACTTGCTTCACTGAGTGGGAAAAATAATAAAAAGACATGAAGAAGAGAAAGGAAATTCTGGGGCACGGAGAGCTCTGAAAGATAAGTGAGTAAAGTGTTTTAAGGTGGAAATTGACTAGAATAATCCCAGCAAGTGCTGAAAAACAATAGCATTTTGTGAGACTGACCACTGGAAGGTGTGGTAAACTTGTTAAGCCTTTTGGCTTGAAATTTTCAAAAGGTTCCTCCAAAAACTTGCCATTTTTTGGAGGCACTTACTCCTTCTCAGAGGAATTTCTAGGTCTTGGCTTTTTATTCTCCTTGCTTTTCATTTTTCCTCTGGTCTCCTCTTCTTCTCTGCTCTCAAGTCTATGTCGAAGTGCCTCCAGGCTCTACCGTCAGTCTTCGTATTCCCTACTCATCCCCTTGAAGATTTCATCCAGTCCAATGGTTTAAAATGCTACCAAATCCTGGTTAACTCGTAAACATGTATCTCTAGCTCCCCCCTCCCCCCTGAGCTGCAAATTTGAATACCCAATCATCTACTCAACACATTCGCTTGTATATTTAACAATAGCTAAGGTTTTTTTAGTGCTTGCCACACTTTTGACAATGTTCTAAGCATTACAGATGCTTAGTACTTATAACCCTGTGACACAGTTGAAACGTCTTTCTCTTATACCAACATCATCTGCATCTGCAGGTCTTCACTTTCAAATATACCCTGAATCTTGTTGTTTCTCCCTCTTCCACAACCTATCTTAATGTAACCACTGTCAAGTACTTGGACCACTGCAATGGCCTCCCCAAAGGAGGCCATTCTACACTTAGCCCCCTGAGACCATTTTCCTCACAGCAGCAGAGTGATCCTTTTAAAAGCAAAATTAGAGGGGCACCTGGGTGGCTTAGTCAATTAAGTGTCCCACTCCTAATTTGGGCTCCGGTCATGATCTTACAGTTCATGAGTTCGAGCCCAGTGCAGAGATCACATGGGATTCTCTCTCTCCACCCCTCCCCTGCTCTCTCTTGCTCTCTCTCTCTCTAAGTAAGAAGTAAGAATTTTAAAAAATTAGATTGAGTCCATCTCGTGCTCATAACTCTCCAGGGAAATTGAATCACACTGGAGACATTGTAGACTTCTCCCCATGGCCCCTGAGCTGACTTGCTCCATTCCAACCTCAAGAACTTTCTAGTTTTGGACATGCTGAGGATATCCCCAACAAAGGCTCTTCCCTTTCAGCTCCCATATGGTTCCCACCTTAACTGCTTCTCTTCTTTGAGGTCTCAGCTCAAACACCACCTTCTCACAGCTATCCTCCTTGCCACCCAGTCTAGGCTTTATTCTGTCCCCATCACTCTCTACTCTCAACCCTGCTTGAATTTTTATCCCATTGATATCAATGATATCAACACATCTGTTGGTCTATTCTCTGCCTTGTACCCAGCATACAAGCCCCGTGAGGCCAGGGACTCGGCCGATCTTATTTGCAGGCACCAGGAACAGGTACGTAGCAGGTTCTCAACAAGTATTTGCTTCATGATGGCTCAATGCATGAACATTTATTAGGGGCCAAATCTGGCCACCTAGGCAAGGTCTATTCTTCATCAACTCCTCCCCACCCCCTCTACCGTTCCCAGTCCCTCCTCCAGAATAGGCCAGGAGCAAAGGAGTGGAGCGGACCGCAGTGCCAGTGGAGCTGTTTTAGCAGACACCCCCTCACATAGTGTTAGCGTCGCTGAGCCATGTCAACTATTCCCACTTGGAGCTTGCTCAACTAAAGTAGGTTGATCTGACCCACTAGAAGGTTGTTTTTCAGTCCAGGCTGAACACTGAATCATGTGGGGAGCTCTTACATACTGATTTTCTGGGCATCACCCCACATCAGTTGAAAGCTTTGGGCTACGTGAATCAAGATTTTTAAGAGCTCCCAAAGAAGTCTCTGACAAAAACTCACCCACGTCCCTTCTTCTTCTTTCTTTTTACTTTTTTTTTTTTTTTTTTGCATGCTTTCCTTCACTATGTTCTCATGGCAAAGATTCAAAAAGTTGAGATTTCAGGAGGGTGAGGAAAGAAGTGGCCAAGGTCAGCATTCAACCTGTTTACAGTAATGCTGGATTCTTGGAGTGCCCTCTACTAAAACACTCCTCTAAAAAAAGTAGTCCATGGATTGTAAAGAAAAATAATATTAGGGCTCTATGAAGAGGAATTGGTGTCATTCTTGAATGCAGATATATAGATATTAGCTGTAGACATATAGACAGGTATGGATATATAGCAACCCCTCCATGCCAAACATAGTGCTAGAAGCTACAATAAGCAAGATATAGTTCCCGCTCCCACAAACTCTAGCACTGAGTGAAGATGAACAATTACAGAAACAATCATAGTAAAATGTAGGAAGTGATACATCATGAGCATTTCAAGATGATATTACAGAAGAATTATTTTTCATTAAATAAGGCCATGATTCAAAGAACACGTCTTTCTTTCTCTCCCTTCCTTCCTCACTCGCTCCCTCTCTCTTCCTTTCCCTCCCTCCCTCCCCTTTCCTCCCCCCTCCCTCCCTCCCTTTCCCTCCCTCTCCCCCTCCCTTCCTTCATTCCTTCTTCCCTCCCTCCTTCCTTCCCTTCCTTCTGTCTTTCCACCCACTCTTCTTCCCTCCTTTCCTCTCTCCCTTCGTCTCTTCCTTCCTTCCCTCCCTCTCCTCCCTTTTCTCTCTCCCTTCTTCCCTTCTTTCCTCTCCCTTCCATCTTCCTCTCCTTCCTTTCCTCTCTTCTGTCCTCGTTTCACTTCCTCCTCTCCCTCCCATACAATGGCAAGGGTATGACCATTTGAGAAATTCAATATTCACTTGAGATTCTATCATTTAAGGCATCTGAAATCAATTTATTTCAAACTTGTGCCTATTTAATTGCTCCTTGCCCTTGATCCTCAGCTCCTAAATTTTGTTTATAACAAATACTTATCCATTTGCTTAAATCACAAGTAGTATTTCAAACAGTTGAACACTGCAAGTTATTCATAACAAGATGAAATAGCATCAGTTTCAGACTTAATTACTATATTGTGCTTAATATAATTCTAACAGTGAAAAATGAAACTGCTAAATGTCATTAACTTGTATCTAGCAGTTTCTTGCTACATAAGTTACTGTCCTTTTGACATTAACACCCACCAAAAACAAACAGAATACACAGGAAATTTACATAATTTTTGTCATCTGTGAGATATTGTTCTTTTTCCTTTTAGTTATGAGTGTGATGGGAAAAATAAAGTCTCTTTTAATGTTTTTCCCCAAGGGTGGCAAAAACCAGGAAAACCCACAAGCTCTTGTTTGAAACAGGCATGTGAAGTGAGGGAATTGTGTCTAAATGGTAAATGGACATATTAAACACATGCCAGAAAGAATGAGTCAGGAATAATAGCAGAGACAGCCCCGTGTTGGTGGAAGCAAAAAGAGGAAAGAAAATTTAGAGCTTCATGAATGCCACAGGAGTCTAGTTTCAGTTCAAAATTATCCTGTGGAGAAACACACAGGAATATGCCAGGTTCACCTGGGTGTTTTAGTGAAGAGTTTGAGTGAGAAAGAAAAAAAGCCAATTACAGCAGCTGAAAACCTTCAGCAAAAGGAGGATTTTTTTCAAACTGAGCTGTCAGACCTCAAAGCAGCAGTACAGAGAGCTGGCGCATCCTTAAAGAAGTTTCTGCAGAGACCCCTCATGCTCTGGGAGGGATGAAGCAGGCAGAGAGGAAGCCCAGAAAATGGCAGATGGGGCACCTGGGTGGCTCTGTTGGCTAAGGTCCAACTCTTGATTTAGGCTCAGGTCAAGACCTCAGGGTCTTGAGACCTAGCTCCATATTGGGCTCCACATTGGGCTCTGTGCTGGGCATGGAGCGTGCTTGAGACTGACTCTCTTTCTCTCTCTCAATCCCTCCCCTCTCTCTTTGCCCCTCCCCCAACCCATGCACATGTGCACTCTCACTCTCTCTAAAAAAAAAAAAAAATGGCTGAGGAAGACATTAAGAGACCCCTTTACTCCTTTCATTCTTGCTCCAGATGTTATTTCCTTGTCTGAAATTCACATTTAAGGTCTAATTTGTCTCATGCCTAGATGACTGCTTTAGTAATCAAAACACCCTACAGAGAACATTGAGATCACATGATTTTAACCTAGAATTCTTTGAACATCAGCTCGAGAGAGAAAGGCCAGCTTTGTACACATCTCAGATGACATGCAAGAAAATTTACACAAAATTGCAAGCACGATGTCTCTGGTCGTAAGAACTGGTCACTTTGGTTTATAACCTGCCACCCTGAATTTGAGTTTAGACACAAAAATGGCACATTTTTACTTAATTCAGCTAGCCAGGTTTAGAGATTTTCTAACTTCTTAAGAACACAAAATTTTCCTTTCTTTCACCCTTTCTGATTTTGCTTTACTATCTTTTATTTATCACTTTAAGAAAAGAAAACTAATATTTATAATTAACACCTGTGATAGAAATCACC